ACACACACACACAGACAGAGAGACAGAGAGAGAAAGAGAGACAGAGAGAGACAGAGAGAGACAGAGACAGATTTAATTGAACAAAAGAGTAAGTTTAAAAATGATGAGAGCAGGAACACCCGCCATTACGTTTGGGATTCTAAGGAGCTGCGTGGTTCTGAACAGAAAAGGGGGAAGTATGCCGGTGTCTCATGGGTTTCATTGATAAAGCCAGACCTTCAGTTTTGATGCAGAACCTTGCGCCCTGGATTTGTTGTAGAGGAATTTGAGTGTGCACACTGACTTGGCAGAGAGGGGATTTCAGTGCGTACTAGAGAAACTGAGTGAAAAGCAACAAGAAGAATGAATGCTTCTGTGATGAGTACTCCTCAGCATTTACAGAATCCAAACTGAAGACAAAATTTTCAAATGTAGTGATGGTGGCAAATCTTTTATGGGCTGGCTGCTCAGGTCTTAGAAATCATCAGAAAATTCATGAAGGAGAAACAGCTTGTGAATAGGCTGTTAACATTCAGGGATGTGGCTATAGACCTCTCACTGGAGGAATGGGAATGTCTAGACTTTGCCCAGAGGGCATTGTACATGGATGTGATGCTGGAGAATTACTACCATCTAGTCTTTGTGGAGAACCATAGCATATGTGATAAATATGAGAACATCTTGGATCAAGGCACAAAGCCTATTTTCTGTGATCATGTGAATATCCAAGGGAAGCTATTTCAATGTAATGAGCTTGGCAAAGTGCATTACAAGATCCATTCTGGAGAAAAACCCTACAAATGTACAGAATGTGCTGCACTTGAAATTTCACACTGGAGAATCATGAACATGAGAAACTTGTAAAAACCTTTAATAATGTTTAATCTTGGAAAACAAGGCATTATGTTGAGGGAAATTTTGAAAATGTGACAATGCAAGAAATTTTTCATTAAAATTTTTTACTTGTTCAACCTCAAATACTTCGTCATGAAGACAATGTGGAGAAGCCTAAAGAATATGCTATTGTGTAACAGTATCCTAGAGACTGAAATGATACAGTTTGAAGGGAAGCTGATTAAGACAGGAACTACGTCATTCAAAATAACTTAACTGAACCTGACAAGATTCAGTATGCTTACCTCAATTAAAGAAACCCAGACCAACCATGCCAGTTAGAAGGAGATTTTGCAAATTGAGTGACCAAGACTGGATGCTCTTAATCTGTAGATATGCCTATGTGTTCTATGGGTATTCAGTATTCATTAGGTTTATCCCATGCTCTTTGGATTTTAATGATGGCAACTG